TACACAGAGAAAAAAACTTTTTTAACTCAAAAAAATTTTCTTTGGTCTAAAGAAATTTCGACTTTAAATAGCGTCAATGAAATATTTCTTTCAAGGTTAAAGAAGATTTCTTTGGATTTATAAAGAAATATTACCATTACATAAACAAAATATTATTTGACTATAATAAAGACGTATTGTTGTTTCAAAAAAATTATTTTTTTCGATTTATGAAATATTTTGTTAACTACCATAAAATACTTTTTACAACGAAAAAACATTTTTTTCAACTAAAAGAATAATATTTCAATGCAAAACTGCATGTTTATTGACATAGTTTTTATTTGATTCCAACAAAGTGTCATTTACTTTAATTTAAATAATTAATTCTTTGGATGTAGAACAATTTATGTTCATATAAGAAAAAATGTGTTTGCATTTAGTGCTTTATGCTTTGTATTTAATAAACAATACACTTAAATTAAGAATAGTAATTCATTGAAATTTTCTGTACCTAAACAAATAAAAAATATTTTGTTGAATATTTTTATTATTTTCGTTATTTATAAATGCAGTAGAGATACTATACAAAAAATAAGATAATAATAACATAACTAAACTAAAACTAAAATACACACAAAAACAAATAAGTCCAGTGTTGTCACCAAAATTGGTTTTTAATAAGATTTCACAAGAGTTCTGTCACTAGAGTGATGCGTACTATACGGTGTTATATTAGAAATCTCGCTGTAACGTAATATAATGGAACCAAAAGTTTCATCAGATACTTCGTATGCTTGCACATGTGTGTCGTAACCAATTGTATGCAACCGTGATGCAAAAAACACAATATCGCTAGAATTAGGGGAGATTATAAAAATTTGATCAATTCTACAAAAACACGTTTTATTATTTTCATCATCTATAAAACTTTCCAGCACAAATCCACACTTGTACAAAATATTATATACTTTTACCCAAGAAACTTCAAAAGCTTCGTCTAAACACAGATTTTCATATGTATTCCTTATAATTGATCTAATACTACTTGACAACTCAGGATTAATAATTTTGTATTGCACATTGGCTGAAAAGCCTTCTTTTGCTAAAATTTTGTATGACAAGCGGAGCTGATTCTTTATTGACAAAGACAGTAAAATATTTTTTCTAGAGGTAATGCTATTGGCAATGCTTTTTAATATTTTATGATAGCCTTCAAACCTCATTGTCCATAAGTTTGTAGGAAGACCAATATTCAGAATTAGTGATGGGTAATGTAGTAATATGTGATGTTTTGGTTTAAGTGTTGTATTAAACAGTTCAGAATATAATACGTGATGTTCTTCAAGTAGTGTTTGAAGATATACTACTGTCTTTTTTGATATTGTCTTACTAAACAGAATATTAACAATTTCATTGGTTAATAAATAAAACAACCACACTTCATCGTCTTGTGGTATCAGATCACCTACGATCATACCAAAATAAGTCACGAAAGCTAACATTTCTGATGCACTCATGGTAATATAATTTTTTTTCAAATGCTCATTTTTGATTTCCGGTATTGGATTTCCACGGTCTGCCTCACAAATTTTGAAGTATTTTATTCTTTCATTTAAATGTGGTAACGTTATATACTTTCTATTAATTAATTTGTTTATTATATATGCCATTTCATACCTAAGAGTCCCTTCCAACAAATCGTGCATTACATCACATGAAATTTGGACTGTTACGTGAAAACAACATAATTCATTCCAAATGCACGGTTCTTTAATTCCGAATGACAAAGAAGAGGCGTCTTCTTCATAATTTATAGGATTTCTAATTAAACTCATATCGAGAGATGATGAACATTGTGTAATATCTTTTGACATTTTACATATCCTACAAAAGTAAGTCGAGTTAAAACTTTCATTAAAACCAAGTATTGCATTTAGACCTAAATTGTCACCCAAAATTGCAAATAACGTAAAATATATTTGATACTTTCCCGATTTAGTACTAACACATATACCATTAGTTTCTAAATATTTTAGCTCTTGAATGAGGTTTGTGAATACTTTTTTATTTCCAAATTCAGTTCTATCTGATGAATAAAATAGCTGGGCCAATAATATGTTATCTAATGTGCTGGAATACAAAGGGGGTACACCAGCTAAGCTAATATAAACAGCACCAATTTTATGTATTCCAGATTTTGACCCAAGAGGGTTGCACGACTCAAAATCATCAAAATATAAATACAAAGGAAACATGTTTTTGTCTTTGTGGTGTACCTTCATTTGCTTCCAAACATTCCCTTGAAAAATACTTGTGATATTATCACCAGTCTGAGAGCATTCGTCTGCCATATAGGACGTAATAGTCTCATAAACACCGGGTACTTCTAAATATTTTTGTAACATTAATCTTAAAGAAATTTTTTGTCCTTCTACTCTTTGAAAAATCATTGTGGGTGTTACAGCACTGCTATGCGGTATAGATTTTTCTGAAATAAAGAAAGATTCTGGTTTAATATAAGAACTTGTCTTGGTAAAAAACTTAAATCTTAAATGTTCTGATCTAAATTCATTAAATACTAATTCAATTTCTTCAAATAATTTTAATAAATTACAACATTTAACACCGCTTAAAGAAAATTCTGTATCATCATTTATACGAAAATTCGATTGTATATATGAAAAAGCACTATTTAGTAATTCTTTAAAAAAGTCTATAATCATTTGTAAAATATTACGAGGAAGTGAAGGTATATTATAAAGTTGAGCAATCATTGTGATAATCTTCGTTTGAAAATCGGACAAAGTGGTTTTTGCTAGACTATTATTGATAATATCTTCAGTTTTGCTACTGTTTAAAAATTCGGTTAGATGGGAAGAGGTGCATGCATCGTCTTCAAAATTAGTTTTAGGTACATTATGTGAATCATGTTTGTGCTCAAACCTGAAATGTTTTCTTAGTCTGTCTAAAAGTGGATAAGATTTGTTACATTTTTTACACTCGTACCTTTCACAAAAAGGATGTGTAAGCTTAATATGGGACACTAAAACATCACCGCTAGTAAATGTTTTCAAACATTTAAAACATTCCATAATGACGCTAATGACAACACTGGACTTATAACCAATCTAATACAATACAAAATATAGATTTCAAGATTATAGATACATATTCGAAACACTTTTTTAAACGCTATTTACATTCTAATAAAAAATATATGAAATTGTAATTACTATAGAAAATACTTAAAAAATATTTTGAACATAAGGTATTTTTAAATCATTCTTTGTTTTTAAATTATACACATACCACTGAATAACATACCACAAATGTCTGCACTCAAAAGAATACTGTGCATCCAATACGTGGTGCACTTTAAAACAAAAGTCAAGTGCAGATAGCACAGAGCTTAGTTTGTAGGTATGATTATCCACGACCACATAGAAACTACTTACATTGCCTAAAGTTGGTCCAACTAAGACCATATACGGTTGAATGGTAAGACCTTTATTATAATAGTAATCTGTTCTTTTCTGCTTTGCGTCTGAAAGGTCTGCTGGTGTTAAAACATGCAAAAGAAGACCATCACGAGCTTCTTTTGAAGACGGTTTCCACACTTGACGTTTAATTCTAGTGCTGCTGCGAGGTGGAATTAGCGATGAAATTAGATGGATCTTTATTGCATTTTTGGAATCTGCAAATAGAAATAAATATACATGTTAATAGTAATAATATAGTTATAAAGCTTATCATAAATAAATTAATCACTTGTTACATTCACGTCACGTGATCAGATGTCCAGTGACTAATCAAACCTTTTAATATTTTCAAGCTAAACCAATCAATTTCATTTCATGTAAACTAGGTTGCAGTTAAAGAAACATGAGCAATTACGGTTGATGTTTGAAGGGAAGTGCTTACAATATGATTAAAATAGTTAAGTACCTTGCGTTATTTCTGTGTTCAATAATTCAAGTAAAGTTGCATCAATTGCCGATAGCTGCTTTCTTTTAGCTTCCAGCAACCTATCAAAAAACGTCAAGAATGCTTCTTGAATATCAATATCAACTTGAAACATTTGACGAAAATCATAATCCACCTAAAAGTAGCTTGTAAAAAACAAGTTTTACACATAAAACCGAAACAACTACCAAGTCCGGTGCCCATTGTGTTTCTAAAATGGGCCAGTCCGTAAAGAAATTTTCAATGCTTGATAACGCCGTGCGATTGGCTCTAATGTTGAACGAATTGGTCCAATGCACTAGAACTTCATCTCTGGGTTCAACATTGTGTTTTAACCAGATCTGACTGTCAACAGCTTCTCTTGATGGAATCTCTGAAAAATTTTGTAAATTTAGCGTAATTTTTTACTTTTAAAATATTTTTACCTATATCATGTGGCTGCTCTGTAGGTTTTGTAATACCTAAAGCTTTCTTTAAAGCATAGGTACGATTTCTATATTTATCAATTAGTTTACCTTTGGCGGTGATGGGTTTGTTAGTCAATGATCTTCTTTTTGTTATTGGACTTACATAGTAGGTCTCCCTTTTTTCATCTGAAAAAACCTCCACGATTTTTTCCGCTAGACAAGATATTGACGAGTTATCTAGTTTAATATTTTTGTTCAAAAAATATGATATAATGATTTCCGATAAACAATTTCTGTCCGCAAAAGTTAATTTTTTATTTTTTTGTCCTTTAAGTAAGAGCACTCTGCCTAATGCATTGGAAAGTAATAACTCTTTCAAATTTAAGTTAATGACTTGTAATGTGTCATTTAAACTGTTATTAACATCAGCGCTTTCCAATACGTGATCAGACGTCCAAGATTCAGCGGTTGTCAGAAGAGAAGAAGAAGATGGTCCTGACGTCCAAGTTTCGGTTGTAGTAAGTGAAGATGTAGACGGCCCTGATTCCGTATTAAGAACTAACAAAATATCGTCATTTAGTTTAGGTATTTTTTGTGGCGGTTCTTCTGCAAATATTTCTTGGATTATTACTGGATTTTGCGGCGTTCTGAGAGGTGTTATGTTTTCAACGATAATTTCAGGTTCATTGCCTTGTTCTTGATAATCCAAAGAATTTAAATCCGATACGGATACCTGCTTACAAAAAAAACAGATAGAAAGTTACACGCAATTGATTCAATTAGATCAACATTTCAACGGGGGTGGAAACCACCCTTGATTTTTAAATAGGAAAGAAGGGTTAAGAGATGTTTCGTTTTAAAGGTCATTTAAATATAGCTTTTCAACAATATAAGTAACATTCGTTTTGTTTTAGCATCATTTGATAAATGAAAGCTTATATATTTGTACAACACTTTTTAGTTGATTTTTCCGAAAGTACTAAAAGCATACACAAAATAAGGCATTCAAGCTATATATTTAAATGACCTTTAAAATGAGATATCACTCAACCCCTCTTCACTATTTAAAAATTAAGGGTAGTTTTTCCCCCGTTAAAAAGTTGATCTAATTTAATAATCCGTAACTAGCAAACAAAATATCCCCTTTGAATATAAAATTTTCGGTTTTTTCCATATTTTTTGTTGCAGCGAACTAGTACTGATGTGATCTGATCAACCATCTACTTAACCTATACATGATGTTTACTTTGTAACTACAGATAGTTGTCAAAACATGAATAAATTTGATTGTAGAATTGAAAAAAATTCTATGTTTTGTCTTCTTTTTGGAAATCTTTAAATATGTCTTTGTATTTTGTCACCTTAAAAAGCATTTCTTAAGATTATTAACTTATTCCATACCTTTGTTGAGGAATCTGAACGACATGTAATGTAGGTATCTCAAAATTTTTGCAAAATATTTTTGTATCGAGTTGCGCATAACATCCGTTTACTCCACGACCAAAAGTGCACATTTAAGTTAACTAGTAATCGGTATCTGAACTCAGTAACACAATATATTAGTAGGCACGTACCTTTTTCGCGGAACTCAGTGCGTGAATTAAACGGCGGAGTCGTAGTTGATCTCCAATTGCTGGGCACAACTTTTCTATGTGAGAATCGGCGAGTTGTAGAAGGACATCCGGTGTTATCTTCTCTTCTAAACAATAAAAAATGATATTATGTACTAGTCAATTGATTAGACACTCACAACACATCTTAGAAACGCGCATAACTGAGTGAAAATCAAAAAAGACTGCTAGAATGACTACAGTACGCACTTGTTTTAAAACTAAAATCATCAATTCTTCCCCCGAAAGAAATATTCTTTCTACTAAGTAATATTTCTTTGAAACAAAAATAGCATACGCTTAAAGTAAAGGTTGGTTAAAACGTACTTTTATTGATTTTTTTATTTGCGTTAAGATAAAGTTGCTCGAGAGCTCAATACTAAAAATAGAGTTTTACTTACCTTTGAAATTTTCAATCAAATGTTCTAATTCATTGTTTTTTAGTAGCTCGTCCATGATTAAACCACACAACGCACTACGCAGTGAGCGAATAAAGTTGCACTCTCGATTCGTTGCACTTGCACGTAAGCTCGCGTACAATCGCAATTAAATTGAAATGCTGACTACAGAATGAAGTCATGCGTAAATGAAAATTGAGATTTTGCTTGCGTTTAAGAAACCTTTTTTATAACAATGTTGCAGTAAACTTAATCAAGCAAAATAAATACTTTAATCCAAGAAGTATAAGATTTACCGCATAAAGAGTATGGTGCCATTCAGTTGAAAAAATATTTTTTTAATTTAAGAAGTCACCATAGATACTAAACAAAGAAAACCGATTCTAAATAGAAAATTTGCGTTTTTGTACATATAAAGAAATATGTCGTATGCACTAGAATATTTGCTTTAACCAATGAAATAACTTTCAAAGAAACTATTTTTCTAATTTCAAGAAAACTGTTTTCTCTGTGTATGCTGTAAAGGAGGCGCATCGAATAGTTATTAATTTAGAGATACGTAAATAGACACCCGAGAGACACCACTATTGCTAATCTGGAACGTCAACAATTTTAGCAATTCATTGCAAGATCTCCGTCCTTTAATCAAATCCGTAAATTGTCCAGGTTGATTGACCTTTAGTTCTGACCCTATTGATAAAGTGGCGAGATACAGATTACTGTCGTTCAACGACTAATCTTAATTCGTTTCATTTATAGAACTACACCCAATCTAGGAATATACCTACGCATTTGTCGGATTTTTACGATCAGTACATCAGTGCAGATACTGGTTTCAATTTTACAATGTAAGTATGTATAATCGTTACCTTTGTCGCGTTCTATACCACTAAGGCACTAACGGAAAGGGCCTGTAGTCCAGTCAATGAATATATTGTAGAGTGATGGAATATGCGAAAACTTTTTTCTTCAAAACTTTTTTAGGTGCAGTAAACATACTAAAAGTACCCACCCCTGGGGGCGAACTAAAGATGGGCCGAGGGTCAAAGGTGCCATTTTTGTAAGATATTTACAGCTAATGGTTCAGATACTATATGTTAACAAGAAGAACTGGTAACTTTGGACAGTGGACCAATCTCGAAATAATTAAAGCAGATTGTGACAAAAAATACAAATTGTCAGAAAAAATACAACTTATGACAAAAAATACAACTTAACACAAAAAATAGGAATTATTTCTTTTTTTCTTCCGATATTAAATGATATCTGAACCTTTAGCTGTAAATATCTTACAAAGTTCATTATGTAACTGATAGCTATTTGTGTATTAAGAGCGCGAAATGATATATGGTCGATTGAAAGAGACAATCAATTTGCGCTCGTATTACACACAAGATTTTTTATACAATCGAGCAGTTCACATATTTCCAAAGATTTATTTAATTTGAAGAATGAAAATTAAAAGTACAGTTTTACAATTTTTTATGACAATTCCAGACGCTGAAGAAAGTCTATATGAGTTTGAAATTGTATGTTCCGCCATTGTTACTGATTCAAGAATTTGCACTTTAGATGATTCACCTTTATCAAAGATTTTCTGGGCTGTTTCAATGTTATTATTAATGCTTTCTTCAAAATTCTCGTATACTTATTGTACTCTACACCTACATCTTGAGCACTCATTCACTGGACTGGTCACCAACATGTTTCTAATAAAGGTCATTAAAATTAAATGATTAAACGAACTTACCTTAGTGAAGTTCAATCATAATTGTATGAAGATCTCTTCCGAGTGATAAATATGTAGTAGCTCATCTGTGAGTTACGCGCCACACATTTAAAAAACAAAGAAAAAATGTAGGTAAGGCAGGTCTCTACATGATCTACGCTAATGCAATACGCCATTGATTTGAAAGCAACTATACCGCAACACAGGGTAGGTGAGGGTGGGACCTTATCACTCGGAAGAGATCTTCATACAATTATGATTCAACTAAGGTAAGTTCGTTTAATCATTTAATTGTATTCCGCTCTCTTCCGAGTGATAAATATGTAGATGTTTAAAGAACACTGTTGCGGTAAAAACAAGAATTCGTACAAGGAATACTTAGATAAGTAACCAATATTATGTTTTTAATCTGAACAAGGTAAGAAAGAGTAGGTTACTCAAGAACACTAAACCGAAAAGCTTCAAGGTTTGAAGACAGTGGGCGATCATAAAACTTTACAAATTTTTGCGAGTTTTCAGACCAATCTGCCATTAATCTAAAATTGACTCCCTTACTACTGGCCTACTTGTAGACGCATGACGTATACTATGGGCTGAAAAAACTGCTGTGTCCATGCCACATAAAAATAAAGTGATTAAAATCCACTTCCCTAGGTATTAACGGCAATATGTCTAAATGGTTTATGAAAAGAAATAAAATAAGGAGTTTTCATTATCGCGAATGTTGGTAGTCTTTACGACGTAAAAGGAGTTGTCTCTTGTTTCTTCCTGATGTTTTGATTCTATCTTGGATTTTAATTTGGTATATCCTATTTTTTTTTGACAGTTTTACATCATTTAAGTATATGCCTAAAAATTAAAAATTTCTAAAGATTAAAAATTCATAATAATAAATTTCTTTCATGGGGATCGCAGAGGAAGCGTCCCCATCACAAGTAGTGGTACCTACCTCGGAGTTCCCCAGTAAAATTGGTAATGCGTTTTCCCAGGCATTCCACAAAATTACGAGGTTCTCTACACCAAGGTCCCAAAATCTCAACTGTGAAAGGTATAAAAATATATAAAAATCCAAGATACAAGATACCTAACAGAAAAATTTTTAAAACGTTACTAGGGTCCCCAAGTTTGATTACATCGAGGGTTTAAACGCTTTCAGTTATGCAACCCTCATATCGTCTAATAAAATGGTAATTTAAAATCTTCTATAGATAACAGAGAAATTGCAGACGTGACCGAATTAAGAGTTCCTACTGAGGCTCCTTCGTTAAAATACAATGTTAACAAGTTAAATAGTAATCGTAAACGATTTACATAAAGCGCATTTCCACTTGCATTCATTTCCCATTTGTAAGATGCAACTTCTGTTAAAATCGTAAAAATCCCGCCACAAATATGAAAGATAGCGTTGCACATGGGCAATCCATTTTTGACGTGCTACTTCAATTTCAGTTTATGAGAAGAATTTCATTTCAATGCTTTTGTAAATAAGAAAGTTGGAACTGCGCATGCGCAAACCTAAATTTTAAAACTAATGTTAGATTTTCCTTTGTTCCAAGCGCCTATGTATCACATTTCATTTAAATTCTTCCATAAATAAAAAAGTTGGCACTGCGCATGCGCAAAACCAAATTTTGAAATTGGCGTTTGATTTTCCTTTATCCCAAGGGCCTATGTATCAAATTTCGTTTAAATTCTTCCATAAATAAAAAAGTTGGCACTGCGCATGCGCAAAACCAAATTTTGAAATTTGCGTTTGATTTTCCTTTATCCCAAGTGCCTATGTATCAAATTTCGTTTAAATTCTTCCATAAATAAAAAAGTTGGCACTGCGCATGCGCAAAACCAAATTTGAAATTGGCGTTTGATTTTCCTTTATCCCAAGTGCCTATGTATCAAATTTCGTTTAAATTCTTCCATAAATAAAAAAGTTGGCACTGCGCATGCGCAAAACCAAATTTTGAAATTGCCGTTTGATTTTCCTTTATCCCAAGTGCCTATGTATCAAATTTCGTTTAAATTCTTCCATAAATAAAAAAGTTGGCACTGCGCATGCGCAAAACCAAATTTTGAAATTGCGTTTGATTTTCCTTTATCCCAAGTGCCTATGTATCAAATTTCGTTTAAATTCTTCCATAAATAAAAAACTTGGCACTGCGCATGCGCAAAACCAAATTTTGAAATTGGCCTTTGATTTTCCTTTATCCCAAGTGCCTATGTATCAAATTTCGTTTAAATTCTTCCATAAATAAAAAAGTTGGCACTGCCCATGCGCAAAACCAAATTTTGAAATTGGCGTTTGATTTTCCTTTATTCCAAGTGCCTATGTATCAAATTTCATTCAAATACTTTTATAAGTAAAAAATTTGCAATTCGGTTTATAAATGGTCGAGATGCGAAAAGGGCACTGTGAATTTTGAATCGATTCGATTCAACTTTTGGCATTGCGTATTATATGGCTAAATCTATGCCCATATTGAATTTCAGTTCATAACTCACGGAGATGTAAAAGCGATCGAATTTCTAAACAAAGTTATCGTTCACACGGCCAGATAGATGGACACTGGACAGACAGACAAAGGAACAGACGGAGAGACCAACCGGCAGGCGACAGATAGCAGTGCAAAATTATAAACGATCTCTAGGATCGTTAATAAACGGCAAAAGTGTAAAATTATGGAACATGTAAAAAACGGTTTTTTGTTTTTTTTACAATAACTTTTTTTGTAAGCGGTACAGAAAAAAATCCTTCCTTGGTACAAGACTCGACACCATAACGAACCAAATAGCGAAAAAAGTAGAACAATAGCTCTTAAGATAAAAAACTAGTAGCGTCGCAAAGTTAGCGGACGGACGGACGGACGGACGGACGGACAGACAGACGGACGGACAAAGTGGCCACAATAGCGCATTTTTTTTATTTTTGTGGAAATGCGCTAAAAAGAAAACGTCAAACACAATCCTCTCTTAAACTATATCACAAGTAAAAATCACTACAAGCATTTGATAACAAGTTAAAAAGTAATCGTAAACGATTTACAAAAAGTTCATTTCCACTTGCATTCATTTCCCATTTGTAAGATGCAATAAATTAGTAAAAATCCGGCCACAAAAATGAAAGATAGCGTTGCATAGGTGCAATCCATGTTTAACGTGCTACTTCAATTTCAGTTTATAAGAAGAATTTTATTTCAATGCTTTCATAAATAAAAAAGTTGGCACTGCGCATGCGCAAACCTAAATTTTGAAACTAACGTTAGATTTTCCTTTGTTCCAAGTGGCTATGTATCAAATTTCATTTAAATGCTTCTATAAATACAAAAGTTGGTACTGCGCATGCGCAAAACCAAATTTTTAAACTGGCGTTTGATTTTCCTTTATTCCAAGCGCCTATGTATCAAATTTCAT